AGCCCTGGTGGAGTCATGGGTGCGTACTGCTGTGAAGTCACATACTAGGACGGAACAGTTGTCCAGTACTCCCAAGTTTCCAATGTTCCTCCAACTGATATCAGTTCATGATGAATTCTAACCTGACATTATGGATTAGATATGATTTTCCTTCAAATGAATGTCACTTACTTAAGTCGACAAAGTTCAATATATTTGTCATGTCAACTAATAGAACTGTTTGAGTTCCCGATAACCATAGAAGGATATGGGATTTCAGAGGCTCTAGACGTTTTACTTATTAGTAGTTAAATATTAATTGCAAAATTTATAAGCATTAGGTTCTATAAGGTCAAGTTGACGATATCCAAACTCAATTCGTCGAAAAATAAGGACACTGAGCTTGTAGTTGAATCCAAAAGTTTGTCACTAAAATATACAGATGAACCTCATGACAAAAAATCTTCTAGGTATTTATTACCGTTGCTTTTTAGTCTATCATTTTGACTATCTGAGATAGCGCTAGTTTGGCAGACTAGTATTTATACTGGGTAGTGATTGAAGGTGAACTGTAAATTCTAACCGTGACCGGATTCATACCAGCGACCACCAGGTTTCCGCCCCGATGCTCTGCCAGCTGAGCTACGAGGTCTACTGAATACAGGTAATGACTGTAACGGAATTTGGTACTACATAGTTCACATCAGAACATTTGAGGTTACGCGGATTTTCAAGTAGGTCAAAAACCGAAAGTTTTTTAACCACTTTACGTCAATCGAAAACCAACAAAGAGAATTTCCTTCTTCATGAATTCATTCACTAAAGTCATGCAACCATACTTATAAGTTTACCATTAACTATTAGGGGTACATGATTAGTGTAACTATTGGGAGAATAGATATCAGAAAAAATTACTTAATAATACATTATTAACAAGACCATAGTGAAGAAGTTGGAAGTACCTCTACTCTACACAGAGATCTGTCTTGAATCGATGAGTTGTTGGTGAAGTCAATACGTAGTTCAATTCTGTCGCATTTAACCGATAACGGTTATGTTACAAAGAAGCTCGAAGCGCTTCAAATCATTCGTCGCACTCCATAAATGCTTTCAAATGGGGTTAGTATTTTGCATTTCACACACAGCTGAGGACTTGGATATCAGATAAAACAACCCTAGTCTTTGTGTGCAGAAGTCTGAACAATCCTTATCTCTGGCTTGGAAAGAGAGGACTTAACAAACGATTATAAAGTTCAGACTTAATTCTTTCTTACACTTTCTCTACACCCACTTTCACGTATATGCCGTGTTAGTCTAGACAAAGGTTATCTACATACTTCATCCTTTAGTAGTACGCAACCTTGATTTTCTAAGTTTTGAGCTACACTGATTGTTGAAATGTCTGCAGTATTATGCTGTTTTCACTACTCTTATCATCACTAGGATAAATAATAACGTCATCATTACTGCAAACTTCACTACTTTATTACCTGTGTATTAATATTCATTACAAATATATTTATAATAAATTTTTTAAACAATACACAAATTCGCCATGGATATAATAAGTTAGAGAATTCACCACTTAGTTTAATGTCTTTACATGAGCAAAAGTAAGCACATCATAGTGAAGGCTGAGATCTAATTGAAAACGATATGGTTTGCTTACATGTCTCATTTAAAATACAAGTGCCTCAATAGAACACCAGATGCGAAATCGTACCTGTTTTGAACCGTTCGTTTTGACTTTGTAGATAATCTCAGAGACAGACTGAGATGGAGGTCTGTGGCCAGAATAAAACAGGTGGTAAGAAATTGAACTAGTAGAGTTAATTATACTGACTGCACTTTCCAAATGCTTATTCAGGCACAACCTTGTTTGGCTGTCACGAGAAAAATGAACCACTAGTTCTATTCTTGATCATCTTTTTAATTCTAGTCACGTAATCCCATCACAGTCTGCCTTCCAGATGATCTATAAGTCAGAGTAAACAGTTCAAAAAGAGTACAGTTTTGCATTTTGTGCACGGTGGAAACACTGGCAATTCATCAATTCCATTCAGATTCCTGTGTGTAGGTCATCTGGTTGACTTGGAGTATGCAGAGGATATTGTTCTACTAGGTGATGCTGACGAAACGCATTGGGCATGAGTTTTATCGCCACCTGTCAAATGAAGCTGTAGGACTAATCCGCCGCAAGTACTCCCAGTTTAATGGTCGAGAGTGAAGTGGGGGAGGGAGGGAGTAGGGAGCTGCACCAGATCAAACGGGCTGGTTGTAGACGAAATCGTAATGCGGATACAGAAAGCTTCTCCCGGCATATGACAACCTGCATCATACATGGCGCCAAGATGTCCAACCATCCATCAAAGCACGAATACACTGTGCTACAGTCCGTTCTTTCTTGTTACATGCCGTTAAAAGTAGATATGTAGCGATTACAGGATTTTGATAATAGATACCTTTGTAGCATTGTTCGCTTTTGGCGGAATCAACATGTCAGCCATGTTGAAGTTAGGCGAAGGGTACTAGGCAAGACGGACCAGTAAGTCGATTCATGAGGTTGTGTAGCTTAGTCAACATAGATGGCTTGGGCATGCCAACCCCTACGTGCCGTGCTGGGGGAAGTTGGATTAGGTCTGAAGAGGGTAACCAGATCAAGATATGACACCAGTAGGTGGAGTCCCTCACTGTTGGTTTAAGTTGTATGGGGAGACGTAAATTACCTGGTTGGGGCCACCATGACAAGAAGAATCAGTAGTTGAGGTCTTTTGCTGAAGTGGTTGAAAATCGGTCACAATGACAACGATGTATTCAGATTGTTTACTCTCCCACACAACATTATCTACTTTGATAATATTTATTCTATCCACCTGTTCTTTGTATGCTACTGTGGTGTGGCAGTTTGGACCGATGGACTAGTGTGCAACATTCTACGTTGATTTTCTCTTGTCTGTCTATGCAGAAAAAGTGTTTTCAATATCTACTTTACCACGGTCTTATTAATTCCTCTCTGAATTATTACAGCAACCATGTAGCCCAATTGATTAATAGTAAACTTTTTCAATACTTATAACTGAGATCGTTGGAAAAAAAGCTATGACCTACGACCTAACAGCCTACGAAACGAAACCAACTTAATAGACTACGAACGATAAGAACTTAACGCACAAACGAATCAACTCTAACGCAAATCAGAACGCCAACCACCACCACAACAATACCACCGACGCGCGAAGATAAGACAGATCATTGACAGAGAGGTTTTTACTGTTTCAACAATAGTCAACACAGTTGACAGCGATGGTGAATGCATACACTTCTAAATGACCTTGACAAACACTGAATCCACATATAGGTAAAAATAGTTAACAACCAATGACAGTTCAATCTTGAGCGAAGAAAAGCTAGTGAAAACAGCTATGTAGGTTAGGGTTATGGGCAAAGCAGCAGGCAAAATTAGGGGTATATAGTAAAAAATCTTCTGTGATCTGTCTCTTCTCTTTATGGTCATCTTTCACTTTATAAGAGTATGATAAACTTAGTTCACCGATAAGTATTGCAGTTATGTGTTCTCCTAGGATAAACTTTTACTTTAAAACACTTTTTTTTAATTACTTGTGAAATTTGACCAATTTCGGAAGAGCTTCAAAGAAGATTAGAACCTCATTCAATGCAACTGAATAGAATTGCCTTCCAAGTTTGTTGCTCATTGGTTTAGGGAAACGACCTTCAACCAATTGGTCACGGGTCCCAGCCCCGTTCCACCTACTAAGGTTTGGGAAGCCAAGTACCATCACTAGCCCCCACACAGTAGGTTGCTGAGTACATTTCAGTTTTTTTCTCTTCTAAGTTTGTTTGGACTTATCTTAATCGAGTGGAAGACAAAATTGTTTACATGATAAGTGGAAAATGACAAGTTTGTACAAAGTATGAAAAGTCATTTATACCAGAAACATATATCAGCTGTTTTCCCTACATTACTTCGTCCTTTTTTGTTAGTTAGATTACTGCTTACATTTTTCTTCTCACAATGAATCGTATATGGTACTGTCACAACATAATTATGTTTTTTATCAATAGGTATGAATTCACGTAAAACAGTACTAAGAGTTGCAGCACTTTCAAGTTTCGATGAACAAACACTAATTATTAGTATAGTAATGATGGGCAGTGGAATCCAGGATGCACATTCCGTCCTATTTGGAACTCGTCAGCTGGATGTACCTGCCTCCCTGTGAGTGATGTCGTTCCCACCGGGATTCGTGGGAATGTCTTGGCTCAGTGGTGTAGTGGATAACGCTCTCGTGTTTGAAACGATCGCTCCCGAGTCCGAATCCTGGTGGGAACGACATCACTCACAGGGAGGCAGGCACATCCAGCTGACGAGTCCTAAATAGGACGAAATGGGCATCCCGCATTCCACTGCCCATCATCGCTATACATAACTGAAACACAGGCAATATCGAGGCATCTGTACAGGAGCCCATATGCCAACAGAGACTGATCAATTCGGTCCAATCAATACAAGCAATAACACTAATTATTAGTATTCGTTTACGCTACATTGCAACTTTTTCAAGTGATAAGAAGGAACATCTAAGTTTCTTTGCAGAAGTCTTTAAAAAAATTTGATGATGACAGCAACGATTTTGGCTAAAATACTTAAAGTTCGGTGGAAAAATCATCTTTATGTGATGATAAAAGTTAGCTGGTATGGCTGAAAAATAATAACTCAAAATGGTGGAAAATCATTTTACTTCAAGAGTTGTTTTAACAGAAATTAGTGATCAACTTGTTAATAACTGCAACTAGATGCAAAAGTGAGAAGCCGTATTCATCCGAAAAAAAATTGTACAGATAGTTTAAAAACTGTTTTCAAACTTGGCAACTGAAATAAGCATACTGTACTGATTCTAAATACTTTTTTATACAAATAAGAAATGTGATGTATAAACAAATCTCTTTCAAGAAGTTTATCAAGCAAATATACACCAAAAATGATGAAATTTTTCAGATGATTACGCCTGTTTAATCCATTCACAAATTTCTAAAATATTTCTTTCCAAATCTTCAGGAGTATTATTCACTAATTCGTGTACAATTTCCGGGTTATAAGATTCACGAGCCTCATCTAGAATTACCTGAAAATTTTACGGAAAGATAAATAAGAAAAACGTTTAAATTGTTATGTTATAGACGATATAAGGTAAGACTAATCGACTCAAGTTAAAGCTATTAAATTGATAGGTTACATCACTAACCTACATTATCGTTCCACATGGGTTAACCAGATACTGGACGGGTATTTTATAGTGGTTTTAGATTATACAGCAGTGCACACACAACAAAAATTTCTTAGTTCAACTTGAAGATTTATTAGTGACGAAGATTTATTCATAATCATTAGTATTTTGAACACAAACTCGATCACACCATCATTAAATGTAAACACCATAGATTCAGAAAGGCAAAGATGTAGAACAAGAAAAAAGGGAGAAATCAGACAGTCAGTTCAGTAAGATACGTTCGACATGGCTTTCATTGCGTTTATTATCCTTAATAAAGAAAACTCCGTAATCACAACGGGATCCTGATTCTTAGCTACACATGATGTCTCAAGATACTGGGTTTCATGGTTTTTCGAATCCTACCCATTGAGACTTGAAGCACCCAGTAAAAATGCGGTCCATTCTATAGAGCACCGTCGTCATATATTGACTCGTTCTTCGCTTTTTCCAACCAATCATAAGTCTGCTATACACAGTGGACGACACGACAGCCCCCCTGAAGGGACATTCATAAACAATGTCCAAGTCACCGAAGCCAGGGTTTCAAAATGACATCACCCAATGGAAAACTACTTTCATTAAAACCAAACAAGTAACCTAGCGCTTTAGAATTACTTACATAATTAGCCGAACATGTGAACGAACCTTCGAAGTCAACGATAATCGGAAAAATCAGATTTCTACAGGTGTAGAACAGAAATTGCACCGAAGTCTTCGCTATCTAAACTTTAAACAGTCACTTTAACTTCATAATAACCCCAAAGGTGGCTGATATACCCTACTTTGGCTTTCAACTTACAACTTAAAACCTCAACAGCACTAATACTAATGAAAATTAGTACTGTCTTCAAAGGTTCACCGCCAAAGGTAAGTGCATGCACAGGCTCTTGTTACTAGAAAACAACTGTCATGCAAGTTGGGACTGAAAATATAATTCAAAAGACATTTGAATAAATAAAGAATAGTCTTTACAATAACTTCTTCCGCAAGTTCTACAGTTATATGTCCATATTGTTTAATCAGGGAATAATTTTGGGTTAACAACATTCAGGAATTCTCCTCTAAAACAACTTGTGTGAAAAGCAGTGTTAGAGTCAAATATTATAGTAATTCAGACCAAATAACTGCTCACGTAACACTATATGGTGAAATTAGTTACACCACAGAATTGTAAATGATAATCAACGACAATAAGTTTTATCGTCCTTACTGCCATTGAAGATTAACATGAATTATAATCACGGTGATGAAATCCATATGACTAAAGCTTATCATAAGTAGAGGGGGGATGAAGTGTAGTGATGAGTAGATATAAAATGGGATAAACATCGATAGTCTAATAAAACAACAGGTTAACTGGTCCAAATGTATGAGAACAAAAATTAAGAAATCTGATAGGATTTATGATTAATAGGAAGGAGGATAAGGGGGATATGTGTATTCATTTTCGTGTTTATAAGTTTTGTGTGGATATGTATGAAAGTAGAATTCCATAGTCCATAATAGATAATGCCAGTTTAAGTAAAACGATGCGTATGTGAAGGAACAAAAAAGGTTAATCGAATGAGATAAAAATGTTTCAGATTATAGCGATAGGGGGATATCTACAACGTAGAAGTTGAAGATTACGTTTAACCTCATAGGAGACTTTCTGATTTACTAATCCTGAAGAAGGCCAAGATAATTGTAGCGACATCACCTGTTTTCTCTGAACAGGTAATTTGCATTTATTCATTCAAATCGATTCTGCCTTTGCGATTCAGAGTTCAGAGCCTCGTGCCTTTGGGAAGTTTGATTGGAAACCGGTAAATAATCTAGACTGACCTATTGATAGCCACCACATGGATCATTTGAACTAAGAGTGCCAATACGCAGCTTTTAATGATCTTTAATACACCTTTGCTTAACCATGCTGTGAGGTGTTGATGAACATGAAAAAACCTAGAGCAGCTACCAACGTGACTGAATCCACATGATGAGTTGAACTAATAAACACAACACAGAGTGGTCAATCTAGGTAATTCATTTTTCATTGGGTGTGTAAAAAACAAAATTTGTAATTTATCCTGCCAAATTTATGAATCATCGCTTCGCTGGCCATATCACCTCTAAAGTCTAACCGCATAAACAGTGGTTTTTTTGCCAGCACCAGTCCATCTGCAGAACGCGCGGTCGATTTTACACTGGACATTTCAATGTCTAAGCCCTATATCCGAATCGGATAATATACATCTTTTACCACAACTGTGGACCCTGCTGACTTCCGCGTCACTTACAAGGTAACACCCCTATACAGCCTATGCTACAAAGGCAACGGGGGTCAAATACCTGAAGCCTTCTCATATCCTCTACCTTTATTGACCATGTTTCACAGCCATTTAACAGCAGAGAGCGAACTGTGGCGCAGTACACTCGACTCATAATAGGCAGTCGGATATCGCGGTAGTGCTGTAAATGGTGCTCGTTGGCAAAAATCAATTCAGCCTTTTGTATTGGTGCAAAGATTTCGTCGGTCACTGACGCACTAGGAGTGATCCGACTTCCCAGGCAAGTGAAGTGTCCAACGTGTTCAACCACTTTCCATTTCACTGTTAGTCGGGGCAACGCTGAAGACCAGTCCTGGACGAGAAACCTGTATTCGGGTGGCGAGAAACGCAGCACAAACATTCTTAAATTGCCACTCAAGACTCTGGACCTAGGTAACATCCTCACTGAACAGAACTATGACCTCTGCTTACTCTAAATCCACTAAAGATTCACCTGCGATAGGATCAATCTGTGTGAAGTCAGATGACAAGAGGGAAACCTTTATAAGTACGTCCATGATAAAATTGAGTAGAAATGAAAAGAGTGGGTATGCTTGACGGACACAACTTGATGTATACAGCTCAACTGATAACATGCCATAGACTTTAACACGTCCAAGGGTGTTTGACTAGGCAGCCTTAAACAGAGTTGTGTACTTGCTGGGTACCCCTTGCAGTGAGAAACTGGCATAAGACTTCTCAGTCGACAGAGTCGAGTGTCGCCTTTATACTAAGAGATACAGCCGTCGTTGTGAGTCGGTAAGTGTGCCTGTGTTCCAGAACCTGGGGAAGTGTGAATATCTAGCTGATACACTCACGGTCAACTCTGAAGCCTACCTGGTTTTGACGGATTTGCAGTTCTTCAGCTCCACTCAGACTTTTAGTGACTACAGAGCCTAGTCTTACACACTATATTTTTCAGGCTGATTCCTCCATGGTAATAAATAAGGGATTTTTTCCCTCTTTTGAAGATTGGGACAATCAGTAACTGAGACCCGTCAGAGGAGATCCCACTTGGTTTCTATACGTCAACTAACACTTCAGTTAACCTAACCAGTAACCACCGTCCCTAAATACCTCCGATAATTTTTCTATATATATATATATAATTTTTCTACGTTTGTTTAGGCTAACATATACGTGCTTGCCGTTCAAACACGTGCTTAAGGAGGAGCAGCAACCTACCACTGACCCTATCTAGAGATGATTGATAACAATGTGGTCTACCGCTGAGTTGAGGTCAGTGCACGCGAAGTCAGGCAATGTCCCTCTTTATTTTTGAATTTCGTGCTGGCCATAAATAAATGATTGTGATGGGACTCTGCTACTTTTGAGGTTGACTTTTTCTAAACCACCCGCTCTTTCTATAGGGAAGGTAGTATCGGTGTGGCACTGCTGGTCATTCAAGGGATGACAACTTACTGCTGTCATGCCCCATCCAATCGACTTCGTCATCGGACCCCCATCACTGCGCAAAAATCCACATTATAACAGTAACTGCTTTTTACCTAACTACTATCCAACAGACCTTTCTGTTATGGTAGGACCCCGAGGGAACATGTGTTCCACCAACATAGCTCGTTGGGTCATTGTGATATACATCTCCGGGCACCACATCAAGGTGGCAGCTATTGGTCTGGTGTTCTTTTGTTAATGTTCACCACACGAACCACACAACTTCAGTTAACAAGACCTGTTGAATTGCACATTTCCAAACCAGTATAGACTTTGAATAATATTAAAGGATCATTGAATAGAAGCACACTAAGAATATGGTTCGGTTAATGGTTCATTATCATTTAGCTTTAAAAGGCAGCAACCGCAAGAAGTTTAGTTTAAATACCCACCAGGTTTCATTCAAAATGTCAACTTCAATCCTCGATCCACAGTGAAAGATACTGACGAGTATTGTTATTAACTTACAACCAGAAGCCTACCGGTTATGAGTAACATGAAGCCACAGCTGATTGTTTCAGGTGCTTGACTACTGGGTTATGTTGCCCGAACCTACTTTGCATATTTTGACTTAGACAACTCTATATTATCTTGAAGCTCTATATATTGTGTTGCTCATAGTCTTATACAAAAATATGTACAAAGCTGCTGAGATGCATTCATGCGTGAAGCGTTTCTTAGTGCTTATGTTGTACCAAAGGCGTTGTTATTAGTTAGTTAGTATTCAGTATACCTATAACTATACTGAGGAAAGTGGCACACACTTAGAAAGTGTTTTAAACTTAATGTATCAAATACACAAACTAAAGAACAAACCTGAACAATTTCACAATGAATAAGGTCTGACACTTTATCAGCTGAGTAACCACGCGAAGTGAGACGAGGATAGAGAATCGTGTTGTCAGTCCTCAACACGAAAACGGCATCAAACCAACGTTCAGGAAAGAAGTCACAGGAATGGTAATCAACAATCTACAATATAACAGGGATATAACGAATGCGTGACAACATACCTGACCACCCGATGACATGGCATCCTCTAACTCATCTATAATTCTATCCTCATCTAAGATGTGGCACTGATTAACTTCATCGTATCCATCATATAATTCTCCTTCCTTGGCAACGTCATTAATGCTAATATAGCTTAACGAACTACGTTCAGATACTTCTTTAGAAACAGTGGTTTTTCCTGTGCCTGGCGTACCTGTGATAAGGATGTTTGGCAAAGTACGACAGGGCATTTTTATAGATCAACTGGAACGATTAATATGCTACTGAAGTAAATCCAAACGTGTACGGAGGAGATTCTCTTGATCAGACAGACGATCGATTGTGTAGATAAGTTGACTTATCTTATTAGATGTAGAAGAGATAACAGGATCCTGATCCACAGTTTGAGTGATAGCAGAAGAAAGAAGTTCAGTAGAACGCGAAGATTTTAGAATACTCTGGATAAAGTGCTGTAAGGCTGAAACAGTTTTTAACGTTTTATTTTGTAACTGCAAAGCGGCTTTTTCGTTCCAGTTATTCGTGCAGGACATGAAATTCACTGGAGATTTTTTTAAATTTGGAAGTATTTAATAGTAAAAAAGGTGCAACTAACAAGACAAAAATAAGCGCTTAAAAATGTAACATTCAGTTCAGTTAACTACTTGTGATATAACTCAGAATTCATCCAAATAATTAAACTGCTTTACAAATACTATTAATGATGTGGGGCTGTGGCTCATTGGTTTAGGTAACTGACTCAACCAGTGAGTCACGGGTTCAACTACTGCTCTACTTAACGAGGACTGGACAACTGCATAATATTATTAATTTTCACAATAGATGTAGCTTATTGCCAAGTGCATTTTGTTTATTTTATACTACTGATGAGGCTAAGAGGCTGAATGCTGCCATAGAAACTGAGAGGTTGTGGAAAAAGCTATTGGAGATAAGGATACTTTATTGCTTCTACCCAAAAAGCGGAAAGGTTTGGTGTTTCTTAACCGTTTGAATAGTGCCTCCAAACATCCGAAGACAAGCGATAAATGACATTTTGTACAGTTTACTCAAGATAGAAACTGAAAGTGTTCAGTTCCTCTGCACTGATTTAAACTACCCAAGAATCAACATGGTTGAATTCAACCTATACCAAAGAGACGTGGCTGATCGCCTTTTGCATTCGACTCTCAAGTAAAAAGCCATAGGTTCAAATGTATCTCGGCAGTTGATTAAGTTCTTAATTCCTAATATTGCTGATCTATCCATAGTGGTTTATATATCTGAGTAGTATCCTAAAACTCACACAAGGTGTCGCGCATTGCCTAGTGCAGAAACCAGCGCATGGTTATTGGATTACACGATTAAGTCAAACTATGCTTTCCAAATAATCTATACAACCCCATGATTCGGACACTGAAACTAGAGAGATGCATTTGATGTAGAGGAAAGCTTTAAGTAGTAAATTATTTAACAGCTATATGGCATAAGAGTTGTGTAGTCACGTGTACAAAATAGTTCAAAGAAAAAGACTTTTTTCACTTCAATTTTTCACTAGACAAAGAAAAGTGGGTCTTGGAGCCTCCCCCTTACCGCAAAAGAGTTGGTATGGTGCTTACACGTACATTGGTAACGCCACTTTCAGCAGGCTACGAAAATAGCTTTAAAATTACTGAATAATTTAAGAGTCTATTAAGAATACATTAGGTGCCGTCATCTAGCCAAGCCTCAGCTCGGGGTCCACCTTTATCGAGTACATCCAGGAAATGACGATAAGTTAGATACAACTTGATAATGTAAGTTTTACATATTGTTTCGTCCTTCCTCGATGTTATCAGATTGAAGCTAATATTATCTTCTTTGACGGAAAACGGACTTTTGAATTACTGAAAAAACTAGACAAGGTTACTTGAACAAACCTGAGTTACAGTCTGAAGGCACAATAGAAGACAGAGAACACCTGCAAGGAACGTAAACATTTCACGTAACATAATCTCAGTATGTCTGTTAGGCCAACTTCAAGTTGTTTATATATCAGACAGAATCAACGTAGAATATAGCACATAAGTGCATCTGTTCAAGTTGCCACACTTCACAGTAGTTTACAAAAAACAGGTGGATAGAATAAGTGATATAAAGGTAAACAAAGAAATCTGAAAAAACAAATAATTTGAAGCTAATGGATAGTACAGATAATCAAGCATTAGAAGACGTCAAGAAGTGAATACATCTGCGCCACTGTGACCGATTTTCAACCACCTTACCAAGAGTCATCAATCAATGATTCTTCACCTCAAGGAGACCTCAGTCAGGCAGTCTACGTCTGTTCACACGACTCAGACCCACAGTGAGAGACTTCGACTCATGCCAGGTCTCGGTATAGCCATCCTGAACTTCCTTCCAGCCAACCTTCCTGAGCACGCAACGTCGAGATAGGCGGTGGATCGGTATGCGCAGTGCATGTCCAAGCCACATCAGTTGATTAAGGTTCACAACCCTACCAACCGACTTGTCTGTCTTGAGTAGTATCCCTCGCTAGACCTCGACACTGCTCACACGGTGATTCCACCAAACCCAAGCAATGTTACGAAGAAACTTGTAACTGCTTCATACTTTCTACTTCCAAAGGCCACGTCTCACAGCCGTGTAACAGGACAGAACGGACTGCAGCACAACACACTTCTCTGATGAATAGTCGGATATCTCGCCACTTGGCGACATAGATGATGGAAGTTGGTAAATCCCAAACGGGTCTTCTGCATCCGAACTGAGACTTCGTTAGCAACCCGTTCAGGGTGGTGCAACTCAAGTAAGTGAACTGGTCGACACATTCCACTACTTCACTCCCTATCATTAAACTGAGAGTAGTTGCAGGCCGGTCCCGGAGCATCATCTTACGCTTGACAGGTGCTAGCGAAATACATCCCAAACATAATCAGATTTATGCTCTACGCGTTCAGAAGACCCTGTATTTTGTCACCTAGCAGAACAGCTCATATAAAGGCATTTTCAGCAAAAATGTAAAACTTTATGCACTAGGAAAGGACTCACATATTTTACGACAGGGTTAGTGTTACCATCTTGGCTACTTAGACCCTGGTAGGCGAAGCTACGTTCGAAGTCACAACCCGCTGAGTGAAAGCCAAGTGCTTAGACCAGTGAGTCACAGGTGTATTTTCAAAGCTTTAAACGACGTTTTCTGTCTACAAACATTTATTATTCCTTCTCTCATTTGCTTTTATCCACTCTTATCATTCGTTTTCTATTTACCTTTGCTTTGAATGCTCCTATGATGTGGCAACTGGAACAAATGCAAGTTAGTCCCAGGTCATACATCAGTTGGCGATTAGTATCCATAAGCACGGTATGTGCTTAGTACCGTCGAAGTCCAAGGTACAAGATTGGCAGGAACCTGTGCCTGCGCTTACCCTTGATGGTGAGCCGTTGGACATAGTCAAAAAGTTTGTGAATCTGTGTTACGAAACTTCAGACCGCATATCGAAAGCCAGAGTAGCACACGCCAATCTGCGCCACCTTTGACACAGTCGGCACATAGGTCTGACAGTAGAAAGGTCGGGTTTACAACGCTTTGGTGCGAGTTCTTCGCCACATCTATGAAACTTAGCCTTTCCGAGCTGAAGATATTCGACGACTTTGTCTTCGATCATTATTATCTCCTTAGGATTGCCCGTATCGGGTAGTAACACCATGTAAGTAATTCCGATGTATGATAGCATGTTTAAGCATGACGGAGATCATCATTCAATGAGTGAAGTCATCCAGAGACACCAGTTTCGGTGGTTTGGATATGTGTTACGCATGTCACTCCAACGGCTTTCATATAGTCCACTAGCCCTGAGTCTGGATGGGAGAAGCAAAGAGGTGGCCAGTTTATGACTTGGAGCCGTGGGACGAAAGATAGTTGTGTCGAGTTAGTATCTATTGGTCGATTACGACTCCATGAGTGGGGTCCAAGAGACTACACAACAGTGGCTTGAGACGTTATCAAAGATGGCTTAGAATCAAAACCAGTGTTGGTCATATTGTAGGTCCCTTCTATCTTAGTTGTGTTCTCTGAGCTAGGTAGGTTGATCGTGAAGCTTTCACTGTCTTTCTACAAAACACGACAAGTACTAACTTTAGTATGATGCTTTTGGCAATCTATACGCATTATTTCAAAAACTGAGTGACCGACAGGCAACTCGACAAATTCTGTGGCATAGCAGACACAGGGTATTTCTGGTGGGCAACATAATCGACAGTGAACGTTAAAATTTCTTGCTCGTTTTTCCCCTAAATTTCTAAGATGCGCACAAAGTGTTTGCCAGTTGGGGAATTAGTAGTCTTTTTAGCAAGCCCTAAGTTGTCAAACGGTCCTGCAGAGACAGACTGCTAGGTGGGGGAAAACTGCTGAGAATATATGATTTTAATAGACACCTGAGTCTAACTCGACGACAGATCCTGCTTTTTAAGTTCCACAAGCTGCTAATATGGGGCTTTAAGGAAAAGAAACGTCGACTGATCATAGTTATGATCAGCTTTAACGCTTTTGTGACAATTCCACTGAGATTTCCACCTGGTCATTTGCACTGTTCATAGAAAATTCCCTTAAATCAGCTATTAATTGGTTAAGTGACGAAAATCTTCAGCCATTCACTACTATACGGTCGCTGTTAAAAGTTTTAAAACACATTACGTGAATCAAACTAAGTTTTTTGGAGATTTCCAAATCCTAGTTGGATGACAATTAAAAACAACCACAACGAACCTGCCGTGGAAATTTGTAGCGCATACAGTCAATGACTCGACTTATCACTTACAATCTATAATTCAATATACAATGTCTATAGTCGTGAACTCGAAGTGAAGTTGTATGAATGTCCTGGGAATTCGATGAAAACATCTGTGATCACAATATTCTAAAAGTTGTTCGATTTTCCGCTGCCAAATTTCCACGAGATGTGCTCCTGCTACAACATAGGATTATAAGTTTTGATATATTAAAGTTCTGGAATCCTTCTATACCTGTGACGTTCCTCTCCTATGCTATTAAAAATAGAAACATAACACGACCCTGTAGCTTTCAGGGGCAAATCCAAGCTAATCGTCGATTGCCAAGTTTTGAAGTTGGGTTAGATTTTTCTGTAGAGAGAAACTTAATACCTGACTTCTGGTTTTTTGCCCTAGTTTCACGTTGCCAGTGAAAACAAGTATTCCGAAAAAACCTGCTTGGACAAGGTGTCTTCGTATATTGGAA